TTTTATTTATTTGGGTCCTCTCTCTTTTTTTCTTGATGAGACTGGCTAAAAGCTCATCAATTTGTTTATCTTTTCAAAGAACCAGCTCTTGGTTTCATTGATCTTTTGTATTGTTTTCTTGTTTTGTGTTATTTTGTGTTTTAGTCTCTATGTCATGTATTTCTGCTCTGATCCTTATTATTTCCTTCCTTCTACTTTGTACTTTTCTCGTTGTTCTCTTTCTAATTCTTTTAGTTGTAGGGTTAGATAGTTTATTTGAGTTTTTTTTTTGTTTTTTGTTTTGAGGTAGGCCTGTAGTGCTATGAACTTCCCTCTCAGGACTGCTTTCACTATGTCCCATAGATTTTGTGTTGTTGTGTGTTCATTTTCATTTGTTTCCAGGTAGTTTTTTTATTTCTTCCTTGATCTCATTAGTAACGCATGCATTGTTTGATAAGATGCTATTTAGCCTCCATGTATTTGAATTTTTTGTATTTTTTTGTTGTAGTTGATTTCTAGTTTCATGTCATTGTGATCTGAGATGCTTGATATGATTTCAGTCTTCTAGAACTTGAAGACTTATTTTGTGGCCTACCATGTGGTCTGTCTTTGAGAATGTTCGATGTGCACTTGAGAAGAATGCATATTCTGCAGCATTTGGATGAAATGTTCTGTGGATATCAATTAAATTTATCTGATATATTGTGTTGTTTAAGGTTGCTGTTTACTTGCTGATTTTCTTGTCTGGATTTATCCAGTGATGTCAGTGGGCGTTCAAGTCTCCTACTATGACTGCATTGCTGTCGATCTCTTCCTATATTGGGTGCATATATGTTTACCAGGATTATATCCTCTTTTTGGAGCGATCCTTTTAGTATTATGTAGTAATCTTATTTGTCTCTTGTTATGAAGCCTATTTTGTCAGATATAAGTATTGCTACCCCTGTTTTTTTTTGTTTCCATTTGCATGGAATATTTTTTTCTATCCCTTCACTTTCATTCTGTGTAAGTTTTTTGTTCTCAGGTGGATTTTTTGTAGACAGCATATATATGGGTGATAGTTTTTTTTGTTTGTTTCTTTCACTTTTATTTTTATTTTTTATTTTTATCTGAATGTATTACAGATGTTCCTCACTTTTTCCCCCATTGAACCCCTCCTCCCCACTCCCGCCCCCCTCCTGCCTTTCCTCACACTGTTGTCCGTGTCCATTGGTTATGCATATATGCATGTAAGTTCTTTGGTTTATTTCTTCCCACCCCCAACCCCCTTCCCTTTGAGGTTTGGCAGTCTAGCAACCAATTTGTACTTCTTAATCCATTCACCTTTTTCACCCATTCCCCCAACACCCCTCTCATCTGGCAACCAACAAAAGGTTCTCTGTATCTATGAGAATGTTTCTGTTCTGCCTGTTCATTTTGTTTGTAGATTCAATTGTCAATAGATATGTATTCATTCCCATTTTGTTTGTTCATATTTTTTATCTTTTTCTTCAAGAAGACCCTTCAACATTTCATATAATAATGGTTTGGTGGTGATGAACTCCTTTAGCTTTTCCTTGTCTGGGAAAGTCTTTATATGGCCATCGATTGTAGATGACGGCTTTGCAGGATAGAGTAATCTTGGTTGTAGGTTCTTGCTTTTCATCACTCTGAATATTTTTGCCACTCCCTTCTGGCCTGCAAAGTTTCTTTTGAGAAATCAGCTGACAGCCTTATGGGAACTCCCTTGTAGGTAATTAACTGCTTTTCTCTTGCTGCTTTTAAGATTCTCTCTTTGTCTTGAACCCTTTGCATTTTGATGATGATGTGTCTTGGTGTGGGCCTCTTGGGGTTCATCTTGTTTGGGACTCTCTGTGCTTCCTGGACTTGTATGATTGTTTCCTTCACCAAGTTAGGGAAGTTTTCTGCTATTATTGTTTCAAATAGGTTTTCAATTTCTTGTTCTCTCTCTTCTCCTTCTGGCACCCCCAAGATGCGAATGTTGGCACGCTTGAAGTTGTTCCAGAGGCTCCTTACACTATCCTCATTGTTTTGGATTCTTTTTTCTTTTTGTTGTTCTGATTGGGTGTTTTTTGCTACCTTATATTCCAAATCAATGGTTTGCTTCTTGGCTTTACCTACTCTACTATTGAATCTGTGTAACTTATTCTTTATTTTAGTTAGTGCATCCTTAACTTCTGACTGCATCCTTCATTTCTGACTGGTCCTTTTTTATGCTCTTGAGGCCCTCCCTAAGTTCTCTGAGGTTCTCACTAAGTTCATTGAGCATCCTTATAAGCAGCATTTTGAACTCAGTATCTGTTAGGTTGCTTATCTCCATTTCTCTTAGTTCTTTCTTGTCCTGGAGTTTTGTTCTGTTCTTTCATTTGGGACCTGTTTCTTTGTCTCCTCATTTTGGCTGCCTCCCTGTGTTTGTTTCTGTGTATTACTTAATGAGAGGTATGGGGCTATCTGAGACCCGATGCTGCTTGTTTAAAAGAATTTAGGAAAACCTGAAGCAGGATCCAAGACAGGCCAATCCTATGGTTAAGCAACTGGCAACAGCTTGGGTGGGCCTGAAAGTTGGGTGGGGCGGGGCCTCAGGGAATCACCAGGGCGGGGCTACCAGTGTGAGCCAGGTTGAGGGAGTCCCAGATATGGTGGCTATTTGCCGCCCCAAGGAAGGGCTCACCAAAGGAACAAAGGCCTCTGACTGCATATCTGTCCAGGAGAAAGCCCCCTCTCCAGCCCTTGCCCCAGTGCCAAACAGCTCGGTTCTTCCCTGTATGTCTCTGGTGCTCCTCGAGCTGCCTCCCCTCCAAGCTTAGAGGGAGTGAGTCCGGTAAGTCCGTGCGCGGGCCCTTTGAGAAGCTGCCTGGGGCTCCAGCCGCGTCAGCCTCCCTGAGCCTCAGTTCCCGCTGGTTTTTCCAGCCAGAAGTTATGGGGACTTCTCTTCCTGGCACTGGAGCCCTGAGCGGGGCACCTAGTGTGGGATGGGGACCCCTCAGTCCTCAGGGAGGACCTTCCCAGCCCTGGTAACCTCCTAATTTTTATCCGCTACATGTGGGTGTGGGACCAGCCCCTCCGCCTCTGCCCCTCCTACCATTCTTGATGTGGCTGCTTCTTTAATTCTGTAGTTGTAGGACTTCCATTCAGTTTGATTTCAGGCAGTTTTGAATGATGGTTGTTCTGTAGTTTAGTTGTAACTTTGTGGTTTGGGGAGGATGCAATACCACGTTTACCTACACCTTCATCTTGACCGGAAGTCATGATGATGTCTTCTTATCCATTTAGCTACCCCATGTCTTTTGATGGGAACATTTAATCCATTTACGTTTCAGGTTATTATTTATAGGTACTTTTTTGTTGCCATTTTAATTTTTTATGTCTATGTTCCTCTCTCTATATATATTTCTTCTTATAACAGTCTTAGCGTTTCTTGCAGTGCTGGTTTGGTGGAATAAACTTCTCTAACTTTGTTTTTTTGGTCTGGGAAGCTCTTTATTTCATTTTCAATTTTTAATGATAGCCTTGCTGGATAGAGTAGTCTTGGTTTCAGATCCTTGATTTTCATTATTTTGAATGCTTCATGCCATTTCTTTCTGGCCTTCTGAGAAACATTCTTTAAAAAAATAAATGAATGATGAGTAAAAATGGTCTATTTTGTATAAGTACAAGACATTATGTAGATCTCGTACAATTTTTAGAGTTCACAGAGAGGGACCAGAATTGAATAAAATCTGTAACTTGTCTCTAGTGAATATTTTTGTTTCTTTATTGTTTTTATTGAGGCCAGAGTTTTCTCTGGTTTTAGAATATCCTGAAGGAAATGTTTTATTATTTAGGTAATCCAAAATTTCCTTCAGTATTCATTTCTATTTATGAAAGACTCGTAATAAATGCTGACTTTTGACTAGAGAGAAGTTTAAGGGTTATTATTAAGAAATACAGTTCATAAGACTAAAGCTCCCTACTATTTTATTTCACTAGCAGGGCGCTCATCCTAAATTCATTCTAAATAAATACATGATCTCTAATGACTGATGACTTTTCCATGGTATATTATATATACATAAGCAAACAAACAGTATTAGTTAATATTTGATTCTTGGTAAGATAATGTTTGGGTCACTTGTTTTGAGGGAAATAAGATGTATTTTCAAATTTTTTTAGTACTTAAATCTAGGAGTAATTCACTGATATATGGGAAGCAACACGGCTGTATAAAACACCAAGCAGTTCTTTTTTGCCTTTTTTGGAATATTATTCAATTATGATCTACTGATTAAGCTAGTTCAGGTTTTTAAAAAGTGGATTTAAAAAATAAGGTTTGTCCATTGAAATCTGCAAGGTTTGTATTATTTTGCTTGTTGCTAAATAATTTGCTTCACTGTGAGTAATGATTATCTTAGGAAATATTCTTTTATTTAAGAAGTGTAAATTTTAAAAAATTTCAGAATTATATTGCAAAAAATATTCAATCATTTTTGAAAAATTTGACCTATTTATTATTCTATGAAAAAAGCAGGTTACAACAGTTTGGAAAAGAAAAGCCTAATTTATATTTAGATATGTATGCATAAGTAAAAGACTAGAAATTTATATATTATAATAATAACCACTAAATATGCAATTGCATGCTCTTGTAGCTGCTCTTCTCAATTCCTAAAATTTTAGATTGTTTTAAAAATAAAAATTTTTAAGCTTTGTAAAACTGGCTGCCCAATATGAATACTAAGATGATAATTAGGTGTTGCAGTAGTGTAACATAACAGTGCTCGTGGCTGATAAAAGGTGCCTTAGCACAATCCCATTATGTACATTGAGGCTGTCCTGGGAAATGAAATTATTAGAAGAAAAACCACCTGGAAATTATACGATATTAGCCCAGGCAAGTTAACAGTATAAAATGTCACCTTTCTGTGCTATGTTGTTAAAGTCCCCTGATACTTGATGTCAAAACGTACTGGAAATTTATTTTGGAGTTGTAGCTATAACTTTAAATATTTATTCTTTCTTAAAATATACTCTTTCATTTTTAGGCATTATCCAATTGGTTTGCTATTTGATCTTCTTGCATCAAGTTCAGCTCTTCCTTGGAACATCACAGTACATTTTAAGGTATAGTTTAAATAGCATTTCCCATTTGTCCCAGTTGTGGTACTTAGTAAGGAGACTTAGAATAGCATTTTTTTTTTCTTTATTGATTTTAGAGAGAGAGGAAGGGTGAGGGAGAGATAGAAACATCAATGAGAGAGAACATCGATTGGATGCCTCCTGCATGTCCCCCACTGGGGATTTGGTCCACAACCTGGGCATGTGCCCTGACCGAGAATTGAACCGGCGACCTCTTGGTGCATGGGTTGATGCTCAGCCCCTGAGCCACACCGGCCAGGCTAGAAGAGCATTTTTTTAAACAAAGTTGTTTTTTGCTTTTCCCATGGCACTTTTTAATTGGTAAGCTGCCATCAGTATTTATCTAGAAAATACTTTTCAATTTCTTCCTAACTCTTGGCAGAACCATTTAAACATTTAATGTATAAATACCTATTTTTTGTTTGAGCTAGATACACTTTAAAATTAAAATATTTTGGGATATTTATATTCATTAAAAAATAAATCTCAAACAGGAAGAACAAAATTCTCATTGTAGATGATGGCATGGAAGTAGGGAAGGAGAAAACTTAAAACTGGGTAACTCTAAGGCCTTTTTGATTGAGAGAAAGGTTAAGAGACAGAAGTCCCAAGAATTGATCTAATTCTGTTTTGAGAAATATTAAATCCCATAGTTTTAAAGAGACAAGGCTAGATTTATTGTATTTTGTCTCAATATTTTATAAAGTGCTGGTCCCTCTTTCCCCTTTTCCTGTCCTGATTCTCCCATCTCCTACCCCTCAAGCAATTTACGAACACCTGAAAGATTGAACTACCTCCACTGTTTGATCATTAGGCATTGATTCTGAAATGGCAATGGATAGTGGGAGGGAGACACATTAAGAGTTTGAAAAGTCATTTAGGTGTTTGATTTGCTTTTCCGTGAGGGACACATTCAAAATCACTGCCCAAAGGAAGTTCACTCATTCTTCCTAAGGTGCTTTCCTCCTTGTCTTCCTGAAATTGAATTTGTGAGTCACTGGAATTTGTTTCTCTATTGTTTGCACTAATGTGCTTTGCACAGTACAGTGTTACCAAAGATTTTACTTACCACAGAACCATACAGAGTGAGGACATGGTTCTGATATACGTGAGTTTCATTTTCCATGGTACCATGCAAAGCAAGGATTATCTGTGGTATAATAATTAAAGTTTAGAATGGTGTGAAGATAAAACTACTTCAAGCATAATAACAGTAGAGGGCCTATATTTCCAATCAAGTCTTTTCCATTATGTTGAAAAATAATTCCAGTAATTAATGTGTTTGTGTGTGTATAATGCTCTCTAAAAGACTGAAGTGTTTGTTAAATATATAATGGCTATGCATTTATTCATTCATTCAACAAATATTGAGAGTCTGCTGTGTGCCAGCCAGGCACTGTTCTAAAGCTTGGGATATATGAGTGAATGACACAAAAGACACTCAGACACTTTATGGTACTTACGTGCTAAGCCCTCTGTAATTATTGATTGAATGAGTTGATGGTTTGTAATAATGATAGGAAAGGCTTAGAATTATTAGGCTTGGTATAGTGTCATGTTCTCAAAGGGACCTATGGACCCATGGGAGTTTCCAAAATCCTGTCAAGGGATTCATGAGGTCAAATCTATTTCCTTAATAATATTAAGATGCCGTTTGCCCTTTCCACCGTGTTTACATTTGTACTGATCTGCAAAAGTGTTGGTGGGTAAAACTTTTGGCACCTTAGCACAAAGCAAGGCAATGCACCAAACTACTGGTATTCTCTACCACCACACACTGACTATTCTGGCTAAAGCAGTACAAATTATTAATTATTATTAATCTTGACTTTTAAATACATGTGTTTTTAAATTTCCTGTGCAGTGAAATAGGAAGTACATATAAAACACCTTTTCTGTATGGCAAATACTGTAGTTGTCCTAAGGAAAAGCATTTGTGCCCTTATTTGAATTGTAAGTTGAACAAGTCACTGTTTTCATGATACATCAATTTTTATTTAAAAGAGACTGATAGACAAACTGTGGTTATTTAGACTTGCGTATTTGCTAGAGAGTTTCTTGAAAATAAACAGTGAGCCTCTCCCTGCAAGTAAAACAACTGACAGTATTTGTTGCCAATGACAAAATTTGAACTTTTAAGGAAAATTAGAATTTTGGAAAACATGTATTTGCTACCATGAGCTTGATAGTTTTATTATTATTAAAATAATTTTTTATAAGATTTATGGTCATTTTAATGAATTCAATTTTTAAGAAATTTTATATAATGAAATGTGTCAACATTTAGAGATTTACATTAACTCAATAAACAAGCATTTTTCCAAATGATTGATACATGATGTTACAAAATCATGTACATGTATAAAGATCCATTCAAAGTACCAGGTTAGGTTTTTGGAAGGCACTCTGTCTTTCTTACAGTGCTTGGGAAGGCACTACCACTGGTCCTGACTGGTACTTGTTCTTTAAGTATACTTGTTTAACTGACAATGCCCATTTCTGATGGGCAGTTTTTTAAATTTTTTTTTGTTTGTTTGTTTGTTTGTTTTAATTTTAAAATTTTTTTTTGGCTTGCTCACAAGCTAATCAAGGTTATTTACCCCAGGGTCTATTATACTTTCAAAGTAGTGTTCAAGCCAATTTGCTCTGGAGGAAGTTAGCTGTCTAATATGAAAGCATTCTAACCTCTAATAACCTAGCTAAACTCTTCTACTGGAATTTTAAAAAAATGTTTAATCCTCACCCAACAATATTTTTCTATTTATCTTCAGTTAGAGTGGGAGGGAGAGAAAGGGAGAGAGAAAACATCAACGTGAGAGGGACACATTGGCTGATTGCCTACCGCATGACCCCGACCAAGGCCGGGGATGAACTGTAGCCTTGGCTGGAATCAAACCTGAGACTCATGGGTCCATGGGCCAGCGCTCTACTGCTGAACCAAACCGGCCAGGACTCTACTGGAATTTTTATATAGATTAAATCTCTTCCTGGTATTTTCTGATAGCTATGCATTTTATGTTTCAGGTAAATTCATCTTTATTTCCATGTCTGCCTCTTGCCTTGATAGCTACATGTCATAGTGTGGCATTCAAATTGGTGGGTTTAAAAATGAGGGTGGGGCCCTGGCTGGTTTGGCTCAGCAGTAGACTGTTGGCCTGCGGACTGGAGAGACCCAGGTTCAGTTCCTGCTAAGGACACATACCTTGATTGCGGTTTGTCCCCAGCCCAGGTTGGGATTGTGTAGGTGGCAACCATTCGATGTGCTTCTCACATCGATGTTTCTCTCTCTCTCTTCCTCCCTCTCTCCCTCCCGCTCTGTCTGAAGATAAATGCAAAAATGTCCTCGGGTGAGGAATAAAAACGAATGAGGGGGGGAGGTAAAGTAATGGTTAAGAACCTGTGCTGAAGGATCAAGTTTAACTTCATTTATGGATAACTGGTGGGGTTCCAGAAACAGACTTGGGTTTTCCAGTGAGAATGGAAACATAGGGAGGTTTTGCTCCTAGTCTCCAACCCCAACTCTGTGATTAGTGTTTATTCTGGTTTGAGGACTGCCTAAAGCCAGACAGTTTTTTCTTGCTAGGCCAAGAGCACTGTTTCTCTCGGGCAGTTCACCATATCCCAGCTTCTTCCACAGTGTGTTGATGACATAGGTCTAAGGTAGCTTTCCTTGTTCTTGAGTACACTTTATAGTCTCTCCCATGCTTCTGCTAGCTGTACTTCCTAGCTATAAATGTTGGTTTTATAGTATCAATCATACAATATTAGTTATCTGTTGCTATGTGACAGATCATCACACATGTAGCGGTTTAAGACAATAAACATCTCAAAGTTTTTGTGGCTCAGGCTTACCTGGACCTTCTTAGGATCTCGCAAGACTACAGTGCAAGTGTTAGCTGAGCTACATTATTGCCTGGAGATTTGAGAACCTGTTTTCAAACTCACTCGGGTTGCTGGCAGAATTCATTTCTTTGTGATTGTAGGACTGAGGGCTGCCAGGTCTTGTGACTGAGCTAGAGGCTGTACTTAGCACCTAAAAGCTGCCTGAGTTACTTGCCATGTGAACTTAACCCAGCATTTCAGCTTATTTCATTTAGTCAACAAAACGAGCCTCTAGAGCTAGTCGGTTAGCAAGACTGGAGTTTTATATAACATGACTTAATCATAGGAGTGATATATGACCTTTACCACATTCTTTTGGTAAATTCAAGTCACAGGCCCTGCTCATACCCAGGAGATAGAGATAATGGAAGGTCACACATACTCAAAGTTTTATGAAATATGGTTTTAGTCATTAACTTATTTATCAAATATTTATTGAGATAATATCTGTTTTCAGCTATGATAGAGTAACTGGACTGGACTTTGTTTTCCAGCCATAAACCCCTATGAAACTTGACAAAATATATGAAGTAGAACTGTTTTAGGCACTGGACATTAGAAAGAAAGAGAAAACAAGGTGAGCTCCATATTCAGTTCATCTGTACTTCAGGGCAGTTTCCCGGCCATATTTTGGGGAGTTGGACTCAGGCAGAGCAAGGAAGTTCTTTTGAGTTGATCATGGAGAGATTGGAGTTCTGGGCTGCTGAAGCAACTAGAACTTGCTAGACAGGTTATCAGAGAAGAGGGACAGACTTATAAGCATGAGTTCCTCAAGAGTACTTGACTGAGGGCTGGGCTACACATGAATAGGTGATATTTCTCAAGGCCAGTGCAGAGTATATGTTAGGGGATTAAGAGTGGGACAGGGCCCTTGATGCCTGGAGATGTTGGATCCCACCTCATCCACAGTAGAGAGAGACATAGTTAACATACTGAGCATTTATCTGAGACATCAGAAAGAACATGCTGTAGGAATAAGGAGCATACTTCAGAGTAGTGTTGGCAAATAATGGCCTGTGTGCTGACTCTGGCCCAGAACTGTTTTTGTATGGCCTGAGATCTAAGGTTGGTTTTTATACTTTATAGTGGCTGAAAAAAATCAA